ACCAAAAATAAATTGCCCCCGCCTTACGGGTACCAATCAACTGTGCAAGTATCCTTCGAAAGAACAACAAAAAGCTTATTTCGATCCACCAAAACGTCAAATTCACGAATTAATCGGTTCGGGCTGCACAGCTTTCTGGACAATTTCATTTTGCTCTTTCACATGAACTTGGTAGAATCCAGTAGCAGTGGCTGCAGATGGCCCGCGGCCCACATACTTGACTTCATCTACAGTACCTCTGCCCAGAGCTTTCATGGCAGTGGCAAGTCGAGGCAATATGTAGCTGTATGCACCCATGTTCATTGGCTCTTCCTGGCACCACACAACCTCCGCATCTGAAAGAATCACATCAACAATCAAGACAACAATTAAGGTATGATTTATGTAGTTACTCTTGTCCATCATAAATGAGTGTAAGACTGTAGTACGTACTCGGATATCTCTTGAGTTCACGCTGGACGAGGTCATATGGGAATGGACAAAGCTGTTCCACCCTACAAATTGCAAGGTCCTTTCCATTTGTCTTTTTCCTCTCTTCGTCAAGCTCGTAATAAATCTGCAGATACACCAGAAATATCATTCTTGAGTGAACTGTACATAAAGAACAGCAAAGTGATTGGATATTGAAAATTTTCAAAAAAAATTGTCTCGTCTGAAAATAGAGATGGAAAGGTGAAAAGGGCTGTTTTTTCTTTTTTTTTTTAATGAAAAGTGAGACATACTCAAGCTCGTGAATAAACATGTTCCCCTTTACGAAACTGCCAGTTCTTTCGAACAGGTGGTTCGATGCAGCCAGTTTGAACCACTGGTTCGTCCAGTTTTCCCTTCCAATAAGTTCAGGTGTATTTTTATATTTAAAATGTGTGAAACCGGTGGCAACGTCCAATCGTAAACAGTAACTGAACAGCCAAACTACGGTTCGCGGTTATGGTTTTGACTGGCACAGTTAAACAGTTACCCGAACCGTTGACTGACAGTTCAAACTGCCAGTTTGGCGGTTCGAGAACAAATCTGCTTCTTTATGTCATGGATATAAGATATAAATGAAACTATTGGAAGTGACGTGATATAGAAATAATAAAATATAAATTTATAATTATTGTTATTAGTTAGAAATATATGAGTTGATGAAGAGTTTTTTTATGTTGGAAAATATAAAATAATGACTTGAGCTTTAATTTTTAATTGTGTTTGTATGATTGTAGAGAGAAAAGTGAATAATGAATGACTTTTGTGTTTCCGTTAACACAACTTCAATTAGATAAATTTTTAACTCAACTTTAACTCAACCTCACTATCATCAATATAATGAAAAAATTATCAATAATCATACATACACACCACATCAACCTTAAGTCACTATTTATCGAGTCACATTATTTTAACCAACCATCACTTCAAATCATCTCTCTCCTACTTTTACATCAAATCAATATTAATTATTTTATTTTAAATATTATTTTAATATATACACTAACAACTAACCATACCACCTTTTCCAAAATTAACCAAACCAAACCAAAATATCCAAACAAAACCAAAAATTTCTATAAACAAAATGCTCTATAATTCTTTTACTGCAATAACACAACACTACAATTAACTCGGCTAAAAAAAAAAACCCTGAGACACATAGTTATCACATTTTAAAGAGAAACTATCTATATAGGATAGCGAAAACCAAAATTGCTTAATGAAAGGGCATGAATAAATAAAGCAAGAGAAAAAGTTATTTCTGACCTTCCCAGAGCAAAGAATCAGGCGTCTAATACCCTCTTCAAGATCTGAGTGATAATTTTGGTCTTTTATCAAGCGTTTAAACCTGGTTCCTTGCTTGTCGAAACCTGCATGGCCTTCAACATCATCGAACTCGGACAAATTAGATTTGCAGTCCTTGTGACGGAGTAAGTTCTTCGGCGACATCACAATGAGAGGTTTACGGAATTCCCTGTGTATCTGTAGCATTAAAAGGTGATGTGAGAAAACATGAACTTTTTTAGTAGCAAACAGTTAAAAAGAATCATATAATCTACCTGGCGCCGCAAAACGTGGAAATAATTCGCTGGTGTAGTCACATTAACGACCTGCCAGTTGCATTCCTGAATCTGTGTCCTCAGTGTTGGGTCCATCTCAGGAATAACATACGGGTCATCATCACTCATCTGCAATGGAACATGGAGGGTCAAATTTACATGGCTGATTTGAAAACAAATTAGGTCCCCAGGTCAAAGAGATGTCATGTCAGTTTTGCAAGAGGGAAAAGAACAGAATATGCAACATCCACAAAAAATATTTATTTTCATTGTAGCATCAACACAATTAACCAAATCTATTCAACTGGCATAAATTTAGTTGAAAACCAAAATGTGTTATCCCTGGAGATCTCAATAGAGATAAATAATAGATTTATCTTATGTATTTTTCATATATCCCAGGAGTTCTCAACAGCTGAAAAAAGCACCAAACTAAGAAAGTCACTAAGCCAAGAAAACATTAAAATAATGAATTACAAAGACGGAAGGAAGAAAGTTCATTTCCAGGCAATGTTTTTACATGTGTGAGAGCTAGTAACGTAAACGAAGAAACTTCAACCATATAAATTGCAGCATAATAGAGAAAAAAGAATATAAACAAGACCTGAAGATAACGCTCCAAGCGCGCACTCGAGTGCTCTGGGCCTTGCCCATCATACCCATGAGGCAGGAGGACAACTAAGCCTGTTTGACGCAGCCATTTAGCCTCCCCACTGCTCAGGAACTGGTCAAAGATCACTTGAGCACCATTGGCGAAATCACCAAACTGGGCTTCCCACAGCACAAGAGAATTGGGATTTTCCATGGAATAACCTATTTCAAATCCCAAAACTCCAAACTCTGACAACGAGCTGCATATGCCAAACATTTATCACAAAATTTACCCAAAATAATACAAAGTCTTCAAAGTAGAATGAGAATGGGTCTAGAAGCCAAAGTATTCATGTATGCATGAATAAGAAAATGACACGTAGGTATCAGAATATTAGAAGAGAGAGAATGATAATACAACCGTACAAAGTAATTTATATCAAGAAATCAGCCAACACGATGAACAAATTCAGTATAGCCTTCAGAGGACAATGTAGCTTATGGCATAAAGAGCAATAGAGATCTCGACAAAAATACAAATTAATCAGACCGAATATTTAAAGGTATCTAAACAAAGGTAGCACCACATTTACTACATTTCTAAGTATAACATACAATGGATCGCATCGATTAGGATGATAAAGTTAAATTTTAAGAGGATTTTAAGTTCTGAATACAACATGTCCTTCCAAGAACATATTCCCCATTTCTTTCCATCAACAGCCAAAAGCAATGACTTGCCCCCACTGACCAGTTAAAAGCAGAAACTTCCATATTCAGTTGATTAAATAGCATTAATATTATATTTTTCATCACGAAACAATATTGAGGGACACAATGCTATAGACTGCATGTCCATGAGCTTCATATATTATTAACGTATCGGAATCAACTGAAAGCTTTTGAGCAGAGGATATGGATCATCTTTAAGAAACACATCAATATACAAATACAGTTTTCATATTAAATTGTATTTCCCTGAGTTAGTTATCAGAATACCCACACTAACACAGAAGTTGAGCTCCAAATCACAGATAACCTGAGTTTGATGTTTCACATATATAACCTGGTGCACGAAGGTTACAAAAAATACCTGTTGCTCACAGTAAACATCTCCTCATTTTGGTTCATAGTAACATGATCCAGGGGGCAGTATCTTTCTCCTGTTTCCTGATCATGAATAACAGAGTGCCTATGGCTGAAAGTACCTCGCTCAACATCCTGTCCACTCAACCTGACATGATTTCCCTCCACTAACAAAGTTGCAAAAGCGAGAGCTTCACCAACTGCCCAGTCAATACCCTCCCCTGTCTCAATCATTTTTGCACGGTCTTCAAAAATCCTCTTAACAGCTCTATGAGGTTTGAAATTTTCTGGAAGCCTAGTAATAGCCTTGCCAACATTCTTTAATATTTCTGGATTGACCCTGCACAACAGAATGTTCAGTGTCCAAAATCCAATGAGCAGTAAGGAACTAAATACTGAACTTGTGAGTTGGTTGTTACCCAGTGTTACGGATACGTGAAAGCTGTTCAGGAGACTTGAATCCAGCCCAATAAGCTGAAAGCCAGTCCCTTCTTTGAGGTACATAGTCTTTGCTGGCCAGGAACTCTTCATTGAGAATTGACGTCACTTTGTTGTTTATCTGACTAATGTCTTCTTTTGTGACCTCACCAGATTCTAGAAGTTTCTTCTGGTAGATCTCAAGTGCTGAAGGATGATTCCTTATAACCTAAAAAATGGAACAGCCTGGAAGTTAGACAGGTTTATGAGAAAAATAGTAATAATCTTACATTTTGCGAAAAAAATAATTTAGGAGAAAGAATGGAAAGATTGGTCTGTATTGTTAAAAAAAACAAAAGGAATGTTCACAAGAATAAAAGGTGAGTTATTGTACATGCCTTGTACATTTTAGGTTGAGTGAAGGATGGCTCGTCGATCTCGTTGTGCCCAAAACGACGATAGCATATAATATCGACCACAACATCAGTATGGAACGTCTGACGCCATTCAGCAGCAAGTTCACAGGCATGAGCAACAGCCTCTACATCATCGCCATTGACATGAAAAATAGGAGCACTCAGAGCTTTTGCAACGTCAGTACAATACTGGGAAGATCTTCCAGATTTCGGGTCAGTAGTGAAAGCCACTTGATTGTTCACAACGATGTGAATGGTCCCACCAGTAGCGTAATTTGGTAGAGCACTGAGATGCAAGGTCTCGTAAACAACACCTTGACCGGCAAAACTACCATCACCATGAATCAAAATACCCATGTTTTTCGTCCTTTCGGTGTCATTAGAATAATATTGCTTAGCTCTAGTTTTCCCAACCACAACTGGGTCCACTGCTTCCAAGTGGCTGGGGTTTGCAACTAACGACAAGTGAATTCTCTTACCACCCCTCGTTGGCCGATCGTAAGAAGTTCCCAGATGATATTTGACATCACCAGTTCCAGTGTAAAGACCGACCTCATCCACAGGTTTTGTACCACCACTAAACTCGCTAAATATCTGCCTCAAAGGTTTCCGGACGACATTACCAAGAACATTTAGCCTACCTCTGTGCGACATTCCAATGACTATGCTCTCAACCCCAAGATCTGCTGCTCTGTCGAACATCTCCTTCATACCAGGAATCAATGTCTCACAACCTTCAAGCCCAAACCTTTTGGCTGCAGTCCACTTGGCGGCCAAGAAGTTCTCAAATTGGGTGCTCCAAATAAGCCTGTCAAGGATTACCTCACGCCTCTCTCGATTGTATTGAGTTGGAGTAGGAGTCTCAATTTTGTCTCTTAGCCAGTTACACTTTTCGTGATCGGCAATATGCATGTACTCGTAGCCGATATTTCCACAGTAAGCTTGTTCCAGCCTCGTCAATATCGCCCGCAAGGTTTGTACGGGACGGTTCTCAGACAGGAACCCAGCCATTCTCCAAACGCCGACAAAGAACTCCCTGTCGAGATCAGCTTCCGAAAACCCATGAAGAG